TAGGTATAAATACAGGTGTACCCGTCCTCTAATCATTTTTAATATGCATATATTCCGATTTTTTATATAACGAGAAACATATGTATGTATTTCAAGGTTCTTTTCAACTGCAGAATTATATAAATAATGAATGAAAATGAATGAAAATTACCAAAGAAATAGTTTCAGATATATAAAAAGTATTCATAAATTTTATTATATTTCTTTCTTTTACAATAGAATTCAATAAAAAGCCATTGGAAAAGGTGCTTCATAATTTTCGTCGTTGTTACCGATGGTTCCGATTATATTTTTATGTTACATTTCTTCTAATTTATTTTAATGTTTGAATATTTCTTGGAGTGTTGTATATGAGCTATATAATATAATGAATGATTTCCTTCCCAAAGGTAATATGGAGGACAATACGCCAAAAATTCTAAAGAAGTGGAAAAATAAATCTCGTGGAAAATTTATTGGGAAATTAGTGAAAAGACGAATACCGATTTTGGAGTGGTTGCCTAAGTACGATTCGGAAAAATTTTTCAATGATGCGATCGCTGGTGTCACTGTTGGACTCACCGTGATGCCGCAAGGATTAGCTTATGCGACTTTAGCCGGTTTGGAGCCTCAGGTATGAAAGAATGGATATCATCCTTTGTTATTTCTCGTTACGCCTTTCTAACCCACGCCAATGAAATTTCTCCTTTTGATTATGTATCAACTCGAATGTTTATATATTTTCACAATGGAAAGTTGATATATATATATATATATATATATATATATATATATATATATATATCCCAAAATTGGTACAAGCTGTATCTCCTAAACAGTTTAAAATAGAGAAAATGTTATAGGTCAAAGTTAAATGGTGTCAGTGTATAATATGCTAAGTTTTTTTTTTTAATGGAAATCTATATTCTTGACTGTATCAGTTGATGTAGTTTTTTGATGCTTTACATGAAAGTATTAACATATTTATGCCCTGAACTTATATGTTAAAAAGTTATCATAGCAAAAAAAATTGCTAAATTTTTCTGATTTATTAGCTTTGTCGACAAGTGTTTTAGAATACTTATGTTATAACAAATATTCGAATGGTCCAAAAGTGCAAACTAAGCACTTTTCCATTGCTTCTTACGTAACACATTCCTGACGGTCCTTTTTGTAATTCTTGTAATTTCTTGCCGAATGCGTTGCTGGAGGTCTTCAATATTAATAATGAAACACTGATTCGTTACATTATTGCATATGAGTAATAAATACTTATTAAAAAAAATCTTAATCTTACATTAATATTAGTGATTAGTATTAGTATCCGGTTCATGTTCACAAACACGGCAATGGAAAATATTCCAGAACACTTGCTGATAAACCGAAATAACACAGAAAATTTTTAGTTACGATAACTTCCTGACGTATGAGTTTACGGTATATTAATACTTTTATTTAGAGCATAAAAACTGCATCTACTGATGTAGTCAAAAACATAGGTTTTCATTAAGAAAAAAGAGTACAGTTGTATTTCTCTGATGCACCAATTCACAAAAGTGCATAAAATTATTTTGCTCTTATATAGTCTGATACTATTTAATTTTTACAAATATTATTTTTTACTATTCTCAAACGTTTGAGAGATACAGCTTGTTCTAGTTGGATGGAACACTGTGTATACCTATGTATATATTTCATTACTGATGTAAAGATTTATGATTTAGGAACAATACCATTTCATATATAAAAAATTTCTTAGATATCGCTAAATTTATCAGCAACTATAGATCCGATCGTTTTAAAGTACCAAACCATACTATAATATATGCGGTGAAAGTGTATGTATTACGTATACTTAGTACAAGAAATTCTAAGCATTTATTTATGAGATATTATGCTGATATTCTCGGTAATTTATAAACGGATCAATTACATATCTTTGAAATTCATAGCATGTTCTGAAATATGTGTTATAATATGTTTCATAGTATTTATTTACGTAATAAAGGTCGAATTAATAATATACTTTCAATATGCGTGGTGATATATTTAATTAACCAAATCATTATTATTCTTTGATCGAAAGACGTATTAATTTTCTTATCTTGATTAACAACGTTCAAGTAAAACATCATTGAACATCAATTTCTGTCTTATTAAATTAAAAAAAATATTATCAATTCGTGTTTATATAATTCTTGATTCGTGCGAAATGAATGTATATTTATAACATTCGAATATAATAATGTGAATTTTTTAAAAAATATTTTTTCTTACTATATTTTGTCTTTGCGGTAGAGTGTACAATTCCCTAAAACTTATTATTTTTTTTTTTTTTCATAGTATGGACTCTATTCCGCTTTTATCGGTGCTATGGTTTACGTCATATTTGGCTCTTGTAAAGATATTACGATTGGTCCGACAGCACTCATGGCTTTAATGACCCACGAATATGTTCAAGGAAGAAGTCCTGATTTTGCTATTCTTCTTGCATTTTTAACTGGATGTTTACAATTATTGATGGCCTGTTTGCATTTAGGTGAAAATTGTTTAAAAGATAGAAAGAGAAAGAGAAAATAATCGTTTATTTTATATTTATTTTATATAAACATTATTTCCTATTTTTAGGTGTTTTAATCGATTTTATATCCGTACCAGTGACCGTAGGATTCACATCAGCCACATCTGTTATAATAGTGGCATCCCAATTAAAAGGCCTTTTGGGATTAAAGATTACATCTCAAGGATTCTTGGATACTTTGATAAAAGTCTTTCAAAATATTCACCAGATAAGTCCTTGGGACAGTGTAATGAGTTTCACTTGTATTATCATTCTTTTATCATTTAGGGTAACTCTTATCATCTTGAATTTTTTTTTATTAATTCATTCGTTTATTAGCTTACATTTTGTTTATAGAAAATGAAGGACATCAAGTTATGTTCCGACGAAAAAAAAGCACCAACCTGTCAACGGATATTGTCTAAAACAATATGGATGCTTTCAACAGCACGAAACGCTATTATCGTCATTATTTGTTCAGTAATTGCTTACAACATGAACACGTCCGAGTCTAATAATCCTTTTATTCTAACTGGTAAAGTACGATCCGGTCTTCCATCGTTCGGTCCACCACCATTCTCAACTCAAGTTAACAATCATACCATCGGCTTTATGGAAATGTGTTCAGAATTAGGAACGTCCATAGTATTAGTCCCAATTATCGGAGTACTCGGCAATGTAGCAATTGCGAAAGCATTCGCCAATGGTGGCAAAATTGATGCCACGCAGGAACTTCTTACCTTGGGAATTTGTAATCTTCTTGGATCCTGCGCCAGTGCAATGCCCGTTACAGGTTCCTTTAGTAGATCCGCAGTGAATCATGCTAGCGGTGTAAAAACTCCGATGGGTGGTTTATACACTGGTGTACTAATTTTGCTGGCTCTTAGTCTTCTCACTCCATATTTCTACTTTATTCCAAAGGGTTGGATAATATGTTCCTATAGTCATCATTTGTGTCAATAAACTACAACCACAATACTTACTTTTAATTTTTTTAGCATCATTAGCTGCAGTTATTATTTGTGCCGTTATATACATGATTGAGTACGAGGTCGTAAAGCTCATGTGGAAATCTAGCAAGAAAGATCTCATACCGATGTTTGTTACCTTCCTTTTTTGTCTCATTATCGGAGTGGAATATGGAATTTTATTGGGCGTTGGCACTAATTTGATATTTTTGTTATATCCATCTGCACGACCAACTGTACACGTAGATAAGTGCACCGTGAGTAAAATTATTTATAGGTTGTTACAGCGGTTAATAAAAAATATTAATAATACTAATAACTAATCTTTTATTTTTTAGACCGATTCTGGAGCAGAATATCTTTTAATTACTCCAGGGAATAGCTTATATTTTCCTGCTGTAGATTTTATTAAACAATCTGTCGGTGATGCAGGAGTGAAGGAAGGTTCTAGTCAATTGCCAGTAGTCGTTGATTGTAGATATGTTCTAGGTGCAGATTTCACAGCTGCTAAGGTAAAATTTTGCAAAAGAAATAAAAACTATTGCATAAAGATTATAGTACTTAATTTTTCCCCCATATTTTAGGGTATAGCTACGTTAATCAGCGAATTTAATAATCGTAAACAAAGCTTATACTTTTTAAATCCGCGATCTGATGTTGTGGCCGTATTAAAAGGTGCTTGCGGTGAAGAATTTCGATATGTATCTACTCAAGAAGAACTTTCGTACTTATTATCGACAAGTCAAGGTAATTTAGTTTTTTACAAACTATTACTTTGCTATGAACTATTTATAATGAACACATTCTATATTTTTAGATAAATCATCCCGACAATTACTAGAAATATCTAGGGATAAAAGTAATGAGCCATTATTATTAAATAATTTAGGAGTTATTCATAGAAGTAATCGATCATCAGCTCATGAGCTAAATGAAGTTACAACCACACTATTACATGCTACGGCTAGTTGAAATGTAATCATTTCAAATATATGACAATTATCTTATTTTTTATAACACAACATTTTAAACATTTATGCACTTGTTCAACATTAACATGACAAAAAGATCTCTTAAAGTTTTTTGAAGTATTTTTATGGACTGTATTTGAGCATATGAATGAATTTATTTGCTTAAACTTTCTTATAAATATAAAAAATTTATATATTATGTATACATATATATATATATATATATATATATATATATATATATGTATAAGATTAATTGTTCCTCGTATCACTTGCATATATAAAATATTATTTTATTTATCATTAATATGAGCAATGGAGTTTTGATGAAATATCTTTTCTAAACCTCAATTTATTGATTTATTTTTATATTATATAAGAAAACTAAATGCAAGGTGAGTTATTTGAAATTTCTTTTTTACTTACCTATTACTTGACTGATAAATTATAATGTATCGATATTTATTATGTTACTATAAAATTATATAATTATATAATTATATAATTACCTTCCCCCTCTTTGCACAAATCTTTAATTTGTACAAAACTTAATAGAGCATTATGGCATTCAAGTAATTGTATATTAAATAATTCAACTTACATGTTTCATGTAAAAAATAGAATATACAGATTGTGAGAGTGTATGATATTATAGTCATTGAATCATCTAAATATCTGTCTTTTATTTACGATACGAAATATAGTTATTATATAATGTCATTCTTTTATTAATTGCAGATAATCGTAAGTTTAATGCTCTTTACATTAAATAATGAAAATTTAATAAATTAAAAGCAAAGTTACAGTAGCGCAATATCGAAATTTCTGGCCGTTCTATTTAATAATTTCGAAGAATTACATGAACTTCGAAATTTGTTTAGTTATAGAAATAACATGTTCAATCAAATATTATATCTTCTAGCAAGCTGTTATTTACATTTCTGCTTAAATATGCATAGGATACAGTCTTTGTTGTAGTTATATTACTACTACATGCAAATGTGATTGCAATGAAAACAAAATATTGCATGATGCATTTAAGATCCCTCCATCACCGTCATAATCATCGTAGTATAAATGCACATAATTTTGTAATGCTTACAAATATCTATAAATTAATTTCTGAATGATTTCGCGAACACTTGTAAATATTGCACAAGGATTTGTTAGGTTCATTACAAATTTTAATAATTAGGAATAAAAAAATATATTAGTCTTTATGTCGTTTAAACAAATGTTTTCCAACAATTCAATTTGAATTTCATAAATTCTATAAAAATATCGATTTAATGATTTTAATATAAACCTGAAACAACATCAGTAACCTTACCACGTTTACCAATTATGGATGAGGTGGTATTTCGTCTGGCCAATGGATTATCTTTAATGCGTTGATCACCCGAATATTTTCCTGCGTTAAATCGATTTTTACCAAGTCCAAAAGTGTCATAGGTTCGCCCAGCGAAAATACCAGAATCGTTTGATTTATTTGAAAACCTATTGATCGTAGATTTGTTTTGGCCAAAAGAATTATGTTTGACTTCGGATTTTGATAATTCCATGGGTGTAGTTTCGGAACCAATTTCATTATCCCTCCTTGCTAATTGTACTTCCTTCTGATAATTCCATTGCCGATTTCTCTGCTCTTCATACAACTCGTCATTCCTTAATTGCTTATTGTTTATATGACAATTATAAAATTCATCGTTCAATAAATGATTATTTCTTACCATTAATTCCTCTTTTTTAACTTTTTGCTTTTCACGATCTATGTAATTACTTTTCGAATTATCCAATTTATTGGATTTAACTTTTATTGATTGTTTGTCATTACGACTGTTATTCGACTTCGGTTGATGTCTATTTGCGTTCCATTCGTTTTTCTCTTCTGTTATAACGATATTAACCATTGAATCTAAGCCTTCGTCTATTCTATCCAACGATTTAGTAAGCAAGTTGGGTGACTTGGGTACCTCTATAGATGGTGGTCTTCGAGTAACTAGCGGATCAAGATTATAATCCGTAATATAGATTAATCCACTGTCGCTTCCGCCTCTCGACGAGCATTGATCCTTTCTAGCGATATGGGACACATGATGAAAGGATTCGGATCTTCTCATCTTGGACTTGGAGAAATCTTCTGTGATATTCTGATGTTGCTTGTTCAAATTATCGGTACTGCCGGGTCCACCGTAACTCTGAAGACTACGATGTTCATCAAATGAGTTTAAACTCTCGAATTTTCTTATACGACACTCTACTCGACTTCCAGTCGATCTTCTCGAACAAGGTGTTGATGTATTCGAATCTAGATAATCGTGACTTGTCGATCTGCGTAGAAGCTTCCTCTTTTCCACTTCGCTCCTATACTTAGAACCGTGTCGATGAACGGAAGATTGACGATCTGTTTGATGCTTCGAGAAATCGAATACTTTCGAAGATGTTTCAAATTGTCTATATTCTACATGTTTAATCGATCCATTTTCAGCTGGTATTCGTGTTTTAGATGAACCAGAAGGTTCATAATTTCTTATAGTTTTTCCTTCTAAATTATTTCCATTATTTCCAAAATGACGAAGATCGTCGAAACTTTTCCTGAATTTAGCACTCTTATCGGTGATATTGTTTGACAATAAACCGTTCGTGGATCTCTTTTGAAAATGTTCAACCACAGCGGTCTCTCTGATGTGTTCCTCATAGGATTGATTCTTCTCGTTGTACTTCAATCTAGAAGCACTTAGCAAAGAATCACTACCATCACCTAAAGTTTCCTCCTCGAGCTCTTCGTCGTGAGAGTTGTAAGGTTCATTGTGATCGGCAAAATTACAGTGCCTCACCGCCATTAATGCCGATAAACACGGTGGCGTTCTTCGCGGTGGTTGCGGATGAAGAATTGTCGGAACTATAGCATCTTCGACGTCCGGTCCCTTGACGACTATCTTGACGCTACCCTCCAACGAAGATTTTGAGATCCTTCGTGATACATCCGAGCTCAGTCTTCTAGTGACACTCGAATTATCGCTATAATCAGGATCGTTACCAAAATAAGTAACTTGTTCTCCTTTCTCCTGACAACTTTGTAATACATTCGAAGCAGAATTGGTATTAAAGATCTTTCGATCAGTTTGCTGATCTCGTTTCGAGACTTGCTCATAGAGACAGACATCGGAATTGTCGTAAGAAAGTTTGGAATTTGGCCTGAAAAGGGCATTTTTCACGAAAGCTGGATCATTTGAATCCAATTCCGCAGATCTTTCTTGGTTCTTATCGCTGAACTCTTCCTCAGCATCTTTCACGATGATCCTAAGTTCCTCAATAACATCATCGATCGTCGTTTCCTGATCATTATCTTGCATCGTCGTAATCTTCTGATGATCGTTTTGAGATTGATTTTTTGTATCTTCTGGACTGCTCGATCTTTCTGACGAACTAATACCTTCGTCTTCCGCGTTCGACGATACCTTTTGCGTCTTATTTATACCAAGAATTGTTCCGCTGGATATATTATCGCGATTTTTCGTATTATAATTGTTGAGCTTCTCCACTTGCAATTTCTCGAGCTGATTTTGTAAAGCAGAGACCTTCTTGCTTAAAATTCTACAAGTTTCTTCGGCACGTAGAACCCTTCGTTGAAGGGCATCTACATCGACACAATTTTGTGCCCATTTCTGGACTTCCTTACGCAAAAGATCAGTCAATGTATCTTCCTCTCGACCGTCCGATTCTCTCAACCATTCTTGGAGTACCTGCGGCTCTAGTCCAGCTTCGCAGGCCTCCGCCTACAAGATGATTATGATAAATATATGCATTTTATCGGTCAAAAGAAATATATATATTTAACGAAAAAAATAACAAATACAATTTTTATTCAATTTTGAATAAAATTACACAGACTGCTATCTATTGTTCTTAAGTGGCCTTATTATCCATTGTTCATTCATATTTCATATTTCGATGAGCAAGCATTTTATTATTCTTACCTGAATGTATAATCTCGTTTGCGTACGAGGTGCTGACTTTAAGAAAGCATTCAAGAAGGATACTCCTGCCACTCTCAGAGCGATAGCAGCTCTGGGAGCTAGAAGTGCGCCAGCCAAAAATCTGAACCTTCCACCTTCGCCGTATTTCAACCTCAATGTAGAAACAGCTTCGGAAACTGCGGCGTGTCCACCTGCAGTCTGACAAACCTTCGTCAGCAACTGTAAATTCGATCAATTTTTTCTCTTTTTTTTTTATAAACTATAATCTTGTGTTATCAAACAAGTTTTAGTTTCAGTTATTACAAGTTTTACGATTGGAATGAAACACGTTTTACAACCATAGGAAATTTTATATATATATATATGTTTATACATATTTTTTGTTGATTAATTTCCTTTTTATCTTCTACAGTCTAGATTACAGTCATTCTTTTTCTATCTTTATTTTTATTATCGTTAAGTTTGTATGTTTTGATCATTAACTATTCCGTATCCTTTAATATGCGATTAGAAACCTGTCGTGTAAACGATTATTTGTTTTTGTTAAATTCTGATAATTGTTCATATGCTTAGCTTGGCCATGGTTAACAACTACATAGGTACTTCCTGAGATAAAGATATCTAGGTATATGAAAAGATAAAGAAAAAGAAAAGAAATTACGGTCAACGGTTGTATAAACGCTTGCAAATGAAACCGTTGCGTTCGACCGAATAACGTTTGGCTGTAGAAATGATAAAAACTGGTTTTGCCGTTGATGGTATATATTCTCCAAATAACGGAGCTCGATCGAGTAAAGGGTTCTTTTCGTTGCCCAAACTTCGTGTTTATGAGTGGCTCAATGGGTCAAGTCAATAACGAATTAATCGAGGACGATTTTAATTGGGTGGAATTGAAACTACAACGAATAGATGATTCTTTTTATTTAATAAAAGTTTCCTTTTACGAGTTAACAGAATTATAACGATTCTTATAACGTTAACAGAATTTTTTTTCTTACCGTTCCGAAATATATACTCATGCAGCATAGCCGTGATGAATGGTTAATTTACTCTAATGTTATGGTTATAAGAAATGAGGATAAGTACTGTCGGTTTTGATCGCATTAACGAGCGTATAAAAACTTCAGAGTTCATTGTAATAAATTATATACGAAATTAATACGGAAAGTATGTTAACGGTAAGATGTGTATCTTCGAATAAAAATGTTTTGAGATCCCCTTTCAATTCCAGGAAAAAGTAACAAGCAGGGATAAAAGAGATCATCAAGGTAGAGTGAGGAGTTTGAAGTGGTCGACCATTCGACTTAAATCTTTTCTAGGATTGAGAATCATTCAAAGGTACGTTTACGGATGGTCTTTCGCGTTTGTAAGCGATTATCGTGTCGGCCAGCTGTTTTTAAAATAACGGTAAGCGTCGAGTACGAGTGCGGAAGATGGTACGATTGTTACCTGAAGAGCCAGAACACGAGACCGGTTCAGACTACTCGTCAGACAGACCGCCAGAGCAAGAAGTCCAGGTTGAGCTTGCACTAGTAGCCGTGGTGCATCAGCGCATCGTTCACCGCAGGCGGCCAAACACTCGACGCATCCTAACTCGTCCAGAGCAGCCCTTCTGGTACCGACTCTTGGCCCAACATGTCCGGACGTCGGTGGTGAACTTTGAGCCAACTGTACTCCACGAAGAGTCTCCAATAATAAAGTTATTCCATCTGCCGGTGGCGAGGCAAATTCTTGAACGAAACTGCAAAGCAAAACAACATATGAACGATGTATTCTTTTATTTTAAATAATAGTTTCATAACTAAGATATTTGTCAAATAATAGTATCAAGGATTTAAAAGGCACATACATATATAATATTTACTAAAAGATATAAAAATATTATATATCAGAATTGAAAGTTGTTAATGGGGTTTTAGTAATATAAATAATCGGCAACCAAAAGATTTGCTTGCTGATTAACATATCACATCCTTCTTTTATTTTTACAATTCTCCTTTTCTTCTTTTTTCCCATACGTCAAAGCAAGAATATGGAATATTGTCACGCATCGGTGAGGATTATCTTCACCGAAATGTCTCTTGTGTCTGTTTATTTTTTCCTTCTTTTTTCAATGATCATTCGTCCATATATCGCGTCTGCGACTATGGAAACTTGGTTGGTGCGTCGCGACAAGCCGGCTTATGCAAATGAAGTTTATGGCGAGCTATTTTATGCGATCGGTTTGTCACCGGGAGAGGAATGGCGAGAAAGGGATAGGGTGGCTGTTTCGTTCGCCAACAAAAAAAAAATAAAATAGAGAAGAGAGAGAGAGAGAGAGAGAGAGAGAGAGAGAGAAAGAGAGAGAGAGAGAGAAAGAGAGAGATAGAGAAAGAGAGAGAGAGAGAGAGAGAAAGAGAGAAAGAGAGAGAAGGCAACAGGATTAACGTAGAAAATCCCTGCAGCCCGTGGAGAGCCTTTGAAATATCTCGTAACGTGGCAATACGTTTTCCCTCTCGATAATATCGGCCATTGTAAAATATAGGCGCAGATTAAGAGGACGATAAATTCTACGACTTAATGACGCGGACGATCGGCAAATAGAAGTAGAAATAAATAATATCGTCTCGTGTTTGTCTCCTTTATATTTTATTCTCTCTCCCTCTCTCTCTTTTTATTTCTTTCTCTCTCTCTCTCTCTCACTCTCTCTCTCTTTCTCTTTCTCTGTCTCTGACTCTGACTCTTTTTTCTTTCTTTGCTATCTTTTTACAACGCTCACCAATAACGTCATTGCAATTGCAATTTCTTTTCCCAAGCTTCATGCTCGAGTTTCATTTTTCTTTTCTCTTTTGTTTTGTTTTGCTTTCTTTGTTTCTATTCGAACAACATGGTACGTGAGGAAGCGTATGAATCATTGTGGCGATCTTTAGTGGAACGAAGAAGAATACGGAGAACGATGATGAAGAAAAAAAACAGAGAAAAAAGAAGAAGAGGAGTACGAAGTGATTTCCCTCTACGGACGTCCGCAAGGTGCACGTTCGTGCGTAATGGCCCTAAGGGAGACAGGTGCAAGGACGAAGAGGAAACGCACGATGCAGCTGTCGCACGGTGACAAGTCAACACGGTCTATAGAAGAGGAGTTTGAGAGATACCGAGAGAGGATACCACCATCACAGGTGTTGCCCAAGGATACAAAATTACCGATCATTTATTGTAAACTAATTACGCCGAGACCCATAATTTCACTATTTTACCTTCCAAAGGAGAAAGAAATCTTATAAAAATTTAAACATTACTCGTTCCATTTAAAATTTAATTTTTTTCAAAATTTCTTCAAAATTTTCTTTATGATCATTTCTTTAAGATAGACAACGTTTTTGTATCTAAGTGTAAGTTTCATTTAATTTCTTCAATTATAACTTTTAAACGAAATGATGTAGTTACGTATAATCGAATCGAACGTCAATTTGCAATTGACAGTCGATAAACGAACGATAGAATAATTTTTCCGCAAGTTGTACCAACGTATGTATGTATATATCTATTTCTTTCTATTTGGGTGAAATAGAAGCGTCTTATCTCTTATCATAGAAATATGAATATATTCATTAAAATCGTAGATACTGATACAAAAATATAAATTACTAGACTCAATAATTCAAGATAAAAGTTTATCTTATATATCGACATTAATGTTCATGAATATTTGAACATTCGATGAATTTCTAAATTTATTGTCACGTGAGAACATATTCCGTTTTTTCAACTTTCCTTGGTTAAATTCCCGTAACACATAATTTGCGTTGTTCCCTTTTTTCTCGGTTTCTGAGTCGTTTTCTTAATTGCACCATTAATACTCAACGTAACGGCACACAGGAAGAGGTGGAAGCCAAGTAGACTCTTCGTTGTAGCTACATTTTAGTCAGCTTTAAAGAGCTTCTTTACTGAGAATTCACCGTGAGAATGAAACGTACAATAAAATTGTTTGTCACTATTCTGGAGAAGAAGATTTCGACGAGCTCGTTGACGGCTAGTGTTAATTATTAATTTTAGCTTGGCGAAGAAAATAAAATTTAATTGTAATTTTCTCAGGGTTGTTTCTACGAAAGGCAAGTTCACGTTCTGATGTTCATATTTGGATGATCTTCGCATTCGTACATTAATGGTTCGGTGCTAGCAATCGACCGTTCAACATATTTGGATGTTGAACGTTCGAACGATTTCGCTCGAATATTCGAGTTGGAACGTTAACGACAGGATGTTTTCCTATTCCCTTGAATTTTATAATGATCATTCCAAGCAAGGTGATGTTTAGTAATCGTCGATTTAATACTCGTTATCCTATGTCCAGTAATTTACATTTCCATGGACTTTCTGAATAACGCACATATATAGCAAAATTACATTTACAAATTGCCTTTCGAAATTGAAGTAAAAGGAATTGATTTGAAAGACATTTATTAATACATTGACGATCTTCTTTGCAATGATTTATGTTACGACTTAGTTACAATTTAAAAAAGAATAAGTTCACAGCAAAGATTTCTAATAGGTTTCAACATTAATCAACTATATTACCTAAGTATAAAAAAAATATTAAACAAATAAAATCTAAAACAATTTTCTTTCCATTATGAACTCTAATAATTGCGTAGTTGACATAAATAAACACGGTATGTATAATTGCAAAATCGTTGTCTACCACTTTCGATAAGCAAACGAGAAGGCCTTTGCATGTTGTGAGCTGATCGTGGGTTGAACGCTGTGGAAAACGAGGACCAGAATTCGTACGTCTTAGCCATTTATGGTCGCAAGAAATGTTGCGCAAGTTGGAGCATGACCGAAAGAGTGAAGTGGTTGACGTCTTGAGGAAAAAAAAGAGGAAATAAGAGCAGGACAGAAACGGTAATACGCAGGAACCATAGATCAAGAGCTGTCAAGAATCGAGCCGTGAGTTTTTTCGGCTAACAAGATCGCAAGAGGAAGAGACGATAGAAGGAGAAAAAGAGTTAAAGAAGGGAAAGAATGAGGAAGATGAGAAGGGCTCGTCGATATCTTTTGCCAATTACTCGTCGCGCTCGTCCGACGCTTATACCTTCGGACGAACGGACGTCGCGGACAATAGCTTCATTAACTCCTCGTCGGACAGGATCCTTGAAGAAGCAGGAAGAGTTAACTCGTCGTTTAACGATCGCCCGTAACTCGAACTTCCTTTTGTTTATAACAGAGTCTAAGAAATTTTTTTTAATCGGATGCGAAACATAAAATAATCGTTTCTTGGAAAGTGGTTCTTTGATCTATCTAATAATAACTTCTTCTTTTAATTTATAGAAAAAAAATGAAAATTAACAAAGTCGTTCGAATTACAAATATTATTTATAATTATAAAATTATAACGTTTATGAAAAAGAATGTAAACGAGTTAAAATCAGACCAAAAGGGATAGCACAGTCACTGTTTACTTTTTTTAAATAATATCATATGGATATATATGTAAATTGGAACTAAAAGTTCGTCTGTCTTTCTATGTATATACGAGGACTGCATAAATATAGCGTATAAGCGCCGTTGTATAATAGAATGAATGCAAATGAGTATTAAACGGGCTGTGTATACCTTGTTCCTATGAACAGCTCAGCTCGTATTTAGTGGCACACTACGAAACAAACCGATACACACAGGGAAAACGTTCTTCCCTTTTCTAACAATGGCTGCATTATGTTACTCCGTGTATTATGCATAATGGCTGAGGTGTCGTGATACCTCGACTACGTGTACAAAATATTCCAACGCCTCGGGATTCACAGTTCAGATATCCGATCTTTTTCTTCTTTTCCTTCTTCTTCTATTTCCCTTTTATTACATTTTTTTATGATAACTGTTATCAACTACAAATGTAAATGTTAAATAGAAATACGAAACAAAATCGAAATTGAAATTAAATCGCACCAATCGATATCGATGCTATATATATATATATATATCGTTGCTTATAAATTGTTGATCGGCGATACAAATGCAACATCTCGTAATAACTCTTTAATTTTTCTTGAAAAATCAAAACCGTTCAAGTTTTTATCCGTCTTTCAAGCAAGAAAGGCGAACGAAGCGGACGGTTTATTATTCCGCGCGACGTCGGTATGGAACAAAGAAAGCGTTCGTTCCAAGGAGAACGAGTGGCCGTTTATCGAAAAGTATGCCTTCCCCGCGACGCGGAACGTGTCGCGCGAGGCTTCGTCCGGCAATGGGTGCATTATACTGCATCCTGCATTATGCAGACTATGGTGTGCACGTAAGAATGTCTTGTGGCGAACACACTGTGAATACCGATTGGCCCTTATTACTTCTTTCAAGAGATGGACACACCCTAAAATTCACGTGACAACGATGCTCGATGACGTTGAACGAAGAAGGAAAATGAAAGGAAACAACCATCTTTTCCCTTTTACCACGTAAATACGTGCTATTATGTTGTTGTCCTATTCATCCTATTTTTCTTTTTTAAGAAAAATTGCAATATAAAATAATTATATGCGAACGATAATCGTTATTATTAATATTACGTATAACTATAGTAATAAGATTCTTCTAATCTGATTATGTAATATAAGTTTTTTCAATTTTTTATAAATAGCTGTAGAGCATAGAATATAATTCTTAACGATTTATTTAAATAATAGTATATATATATATATATAATTTCTGATTAGTTAGTTACTCACAATTGTTTAAATTTTCTATTGTATTTGACTTTATATGTATTTGTACTATAAACAATTTTATCTAGCTGCTTATGTAATATATAATATGAATAAGTTCATGACCTACAAACTAAAAAGTGAGATTTACATAGCAAGATAAATAATATCCAGTATTTATATAACCGTGTCTTTTTCTTTGGAATTCTAAGAAATTCGTCTTCGCGTAAGGAAATAAACAAAATCAAACAGACCAACCGTCTTCTCTCTCTCAACCATGATAAGGATAATCCTCTTAGTATTACACGATACCCTCGTGAGTACGCATCTGTCGTTCCTTTTTGTAGGTTTTAAATTCGTTCGTATATTTTAAATTTCGTTTAATATTCGATTTCACACGGAATTAGATACTTACTTGATATTATTAACTGATAAGGTTGACTGTTGATACATTAATTTTAGAAAGTGAACAGGTTAACCTTTTGCACTATAACTTATTTTCTTAATATCTTTTAATAATGTTCTCGGCAAATTCTGATCTGATTTTTTTACATTTAAATATCTTATGTATAATACACATATTAACATATACTTTCAATACATTTTTTAATTAAAACTTTTTTTTTGTTAAGCAGATCAAGAGTCATATCAGAGATGATTCAAGAATTCTATTAGAATTTTATTGTCAGGTCAAAGTGCAAAGGATTACAAAAAGAAGGCAAATGTTTTAGCAATAGTATTATTTTGTGACAAAGAAAGATATAAGACGAAAGAAATGAAAAAAAGGATAATAATAGAGATTGAAAATAGAGAAACATCACGAAAATGTCTAAAAAAGAAAGAAAAATGTTTTCAAAATCGTAGACATTATTTGATTGTGTATTTCCGTCCAATATGTTTGCGTGGAATACAAAAATCACAAAGGAAAGTGCCGGCTATTCTATTTCTCAAGTACACGCGATCTGATACAAAACTTCAGTAAGGAGAAGAAAGAAGAAAATGGATTCAAGATCGCGTGGCTTTCCACGCGATTTTCCCGTTTTTTCTTCTCTTTTTTTTTTTTTTTTTTTTTTTTTTCTTTTTTTTTTTTTTTCATTAAACTAGGAAGCAGTTATGCGTTAGCTGTTACGCGAAGCGGAAGCATCATAGTGTGTATCACGGGTTCGGTGCCCGGTCGACGAGCTATCCTCTATCCACTTCTTATTCCTCCTCCTCCTCCTCCTCTCCTTCTTCTCCCTCTTCTTCATCATATTCTTATTCATCTTCTTCGTCGATAGTTGCGTGCGTATAGATGCGTAAAAACACGTGTGCATTAGCTACGTTCAAAAATTTGTTTCTTTTTCGTTATGCTTTCTGTTTGTTTTTTTTTTCCATACGATTCAGTAATCACATAAACGAAAAATATGTCTCTGCTTATTATTAAGGCAATAGAAAGTATTGAAATATATCGAGTTTTGTCGATTTATGTTTAATAAAATAATCATTTGCATATCTGAATGTGATATAAGTTATAGGTAATAGCAGACTGTAAAATACGAGATTATTAATATATCATAAGTTACAAAAGCAACCCAGACGACAAGAAATGTATTAGTAGTAGTATATGAACAGACAATTAACACGGGAGAAGTGTACGGAATTAAATAACATCTCGGTAAGATTGTTTATTCATGTATAAATATATACATACATATATCATATATATATACAGAATGTTTCTTATTCCGGTAATGAACCAACGAATCCTTCGTTAATGAATAAACGAAAGGGGGAAGGATCTTGTTCAGTAACCGTGACGGGAGAACATGTTTTTTGACGTTAAATTACCAGTTTAGATATGATACATAAATATATGCACATATATATATGCATACATACATACATACATATATATTTATATATATATATATATATATATATATATATATATATATAAGAATTTATGATCAAAGGAAAGTAGAATGGTTGTAGTTAATAAGGAAATGAAAAAAGAATTAAAAAAAGAAAGACAAAAGAACAAATTTCCAAACATGCCCCATCTTCAACTCATCAGAAACTTTCATGATCCTTGAATGAAGTCACGGATTTCTCGTATGCAAGAAATATGGCATCAAGGATGTGACTCGTTCAAGATCATCGATTCGCACACGATCTCTACTACGCTCCCGTTGAGCAGTTAACCGTAATATCACAGTTTGCTTATCCACGATCCGTTCGGTAAAAGAGTCTTATCTCATTTGCATCGTCGAACAGGGTGCTCTCCGTATAGTTATTATTCCTATTATTATTATTATCGTTGGTTTATGTGGGACATCGACCACGCGTCCACTTGCTCGCGCTAACGACAAGACGAAGGATTCTAGAATCTCTCTTTCTCGATTACGCCTCTTACTAGGCGCCGCGCACGAGTCCGTCCCTCTTTCTTTCTCTTTATCTTTCTCTTTCTTATTCTTAGATGCCACGGGCTAGACGTACTTCTCGATAGAAAAGGAGAGAACAAAATATAATGTACATACGACGATGCACAGCATCATCTTTATTAATCATTCGTTCGCCTAACGGACTTAGCTCGTTTCTCTTCGACGACTTTCGATCGGTCATACATTGTTTTTTTTGTTTGTTAGTTTGTATGTACGTCACTGTCGTTGATTTTGTTTCGAAGCAAAGAGAACGCTCGAGAATGATTCATTTTTTTTAAAGAGTTGTACGAGTTTCCCTGGCACAGCTCGTTAAATTTGTCTCAACAAATATCATGAAAAGAAAACTATATGATTACGTTTACAAAAGAAAAATGAATTTGATTTTGAAATTTCCTTGAACATTTGAACTGCAAGAAAACAATATATGATGTCTACACTATATAATGTCTCGTTTCATATTAAAAAATATTTGTAAAAATCTTTTTTTGATAATTTCAGTCCCTCCCGATTTTAACACTGCGATACATTCTTTATATTTGCGCAAATTTAGAATACGATTTTAATATAGATAAAAAAAATAATTATGTGTTATTATGGATAGTACATAATGATAATACTTCGGTCGAATAAGGAATAATGAATTCTATAATTTCGTATGAGTTTTAGTCAATTACGTAGAAGATACTTCCGTGTTATTAATGAAGTTGAACTAAGACACATAATTTCTTATATTTAGCAAGGTCATAAAATAATTTTTCTTTGTTCATAAATAAATTAAGGGAATGTTTACACGTTTATAAGAAAACTATTAATTGTTACTTCTTAAAAGGTTAATTGATAATATACTAACCTTGGAAAGGCCAGCCTAAGATCAGCTCTAAGTTTGTTTAGTAGTTCGCTAACCGATGTAAATTGTCTGAGTGTCATCTCGCCTGCACTTCCGGAAATGTAACCGGAACTTGAGCTGGTGGTAGACGGCAAGGTATCCTGTGAATCCTGAACAGTGCTTAGAGGTCGTCTTCCCCATCGTCTCAATGCGATCGCGTAATCCTCGGCGTTGTACGTTGGTGGTCTCAGACCAGGTTCCTAGATAAATAAAAAAGTCGATTTAGTTACACTTTTTTTTCATCATTTAAAATTCATAATCGCTATACGTGAGTATAATAAAAATTCAACGAAATATCTTAAACGCGGAAGATGAATTTATATTAAACGAAAAAACCAATACTTCTCTATGTATTCCTATTTGAATTTTCGAGCTTGGTAAGTGAAAAAGCTGAAAGTTCGCAGACATTGATGGACAAATTGTTAGTCGATCGATTTTCTTTGGTTGGTGATCGTTCGAGCGATGCGTGACTGGAGTGTCTTTCGATGATACGACGAGATACGTTTTTCTATCTAGAATATAGCGAGTATCGTGACTCATGTGCGTTTCTTATGAATTATTTACTTTGATGTAATAAAAAGAAAAAAGTTCTTGCTATATCGACCTTGTCACTTTTATTCTCTCCGTATTAGTTGACATAACGTTTGTATACGAATTGATTCCCGAGCATTAACGAAAACTATGCGATCTTTTGAACGTGCATATAAATTGAATTTGTTTTTTTCTTTTTTTTTTTCATTAGAACGAACTTACAGAACTTACGAATAATACATAACTTACGTAAAGTTCAGGATTGTTCTTTTTCGATAATTTTTAACTCCATTATTTGTCCTTGGAAGTTCGTTGTGAAGATCAGTTTAAGAATATTTCGAAATTAGTCCACGAGTTCGCGTTCGCGCGAATTATAAGCGCATCGAACTATGAAATATTCATGCGAAAAGGCTTGGAGGCAATCGAGAGGAGAGCGACGGCTAATTTTACGGCGCTTCGAAGCATAAATCGGTGAGATTATAGTGATTATCGCGTTTCCCCGTGATCCGAACACGAATCGAGTGCATCAAGGTGCTACTGAAGCTTCTTCTACTATTTCTACTTTTTCTTTCTATTTCCTTTTGCTTTCTCTCTCTCTCTCTCTCTCTCTCTTTCTCTCTCTCTCTCTCTCTCTCTCTCTCTCTCTCTTTCTCTCTCTCTCTCTCTCTCTCTTTCTGTTCACTTTAATCGGCAAGACGAAAGGCAATAGAGGAAATCAATTCTCCTGGATTCAGAAAGATTCGCTGGTCCGTGGAAAGCACGAAGTAGAGCCAGAGCAACTAATGAGAAGATTACATAGCAATTTCGCGGGAACCAACTCGTCAATATATCGGCGTTCAATGTTGGTTATTAAGTCGATTAAAAGATCGTTCGAGTTATTGTACTAGGAGAATAGAATTTTCTTTTTTTCTTTATTATTATAAATTTCTATTAAATCATTCGAAAATTACTTTTAAATGAAATAATGATAATATATAATAACATTTTAAATGACGATCGAAGATCCGTGGTAAAATATAATAGTTCTAGTTTCCACGTCCTGTCAATTTTAAAGGATCGTATGTGCCTGAGTTAAATTGGAATAACTAACAAATAAAGGCAAATAAGTATATATAAGATAATATATCCTCTTTACATAGTTTCGAAAATTACAAGAGGGACACAGAGAGAATGACGAGACAGGAAACGTAGTCTCAGCAAAGTAGGTATATACTTTGATTTCTTATTCGCGGTCGACCGTTTCTTTCCCGTCGCACGAGAATCTCACACGCTGGATGTAACCGCAAAGTCCAAGTTTTACGAATTTTCTTTGATATACAGCGAAGAATGGAAAAAAAAGAAAAAAAGACACTGTCCTTCGATCAAGTAATTTATAAATAAGAACAAAAATAGGTGATGGTTGAAACGAAAAAAATCGTTATCTATGAAAAAATCTATCCTGTAAAAATTCTTAATGGCTCTTCGAAACATAGATCACAAAATTATTTTACATCTTTTTGATTCAACGGTCAAGCTGTCCTGATTTGAAGGATCATCCATTAAGATCCGCATCGTCGATTAAATTCCTATTAGGTCGAATATCGCGTCGATAGATTAGAAATCTGGCTCAACGATAAATGACGGATACTTTGTAAGACGTATTAAGGCGCTCAAGGTATTACTCCTGGCAACGCTTTCATGAATCGAGGACGATTAATCGTGCGGGGCTTATCGATTCTTTATCTTCAAAGAAATCGATTGCATCGTTTCCAATGACTTGTCCGAAACGAGGACGAATTAATCAAACTCATAACATTAATTAGGAAAACTGAATTTAATATCTCTAAATGTTTGTTATTAAGGAGTATAAAGTCAAGAATAGTTAATAGAACAAAAAATGGAATGGTTTCATACTGATAGACTATTAGTTAAGTTAAATATTCGATCCAAAGATGAAACTTGAAAAAGAACGTCTTTCGGCGAGGAAAATTATATATTAGAAATACATATTATAAGTTAACGGAAAGTGATCCTTTTTGATCTTGCAGCTGGATCAGTTATTTCTCGCGTTCTTCTCTTTTTTGTTGTAGGCTCTTATTGTAGTTTCCTTTGCGTCACTTTCAATGTTGTCGTACGCCGAGCATTAGTTCTCTGGTAATGGAATTCTCACGGTTCGAAAGAAGCAAAAGGAAGTGGCCGAAGGACGTTTTACCATGTATATTTTCTCTCTTTCTATACACACACACACACACACACACACATATGTCTCAAAGCAGAAAAATAGAGAGAGAGAAAGAGAGAGAGAAAAAGTATGCTAATCTAAAATATCCTGCCGCGTCGACGCACCGTGCGTGGAACGAGCGTTTTGTACGATTAAAGTTAATTCTTTTTCTCCTCGGTTAACCTTGTATGAAGTAGAATAAAACAATTTGAAGTTTTTGAAAATATCTAAACCAATTGATCATGCGCCTGAATAATTAGTATTGAATATTAGAAGAACTAATAAATTCGGTTTATATAATAAGTATAAAAACATTTCGATAAATGTACATACATGCATTATTACATTTTACAATTGAGTGGAGTTTATTTCTACTTTCTTTTTAAATAAAATAAGTAATATCCACATGAGAAATATTTCACGTTCTACAATTGAAAACTAAAAATACACATAGTGATTTTATATAATTTAATCGAATAAAGTCAAGCGCACGCACGTGTAACGGTTTAAAGAAGTGCTTCGCAGGCGTGAAATAACGTGGAAATCCTTGAAGTTCTTACCTTTTCCGTTTGTGGTCCCCAGGGCTTCACAACGAGCAACTCTTCCTCTGCATTTGGCGCCATGTCCGATTCGCTGAAACAGAAAAGCAGTTGGTCTTAATTGAGGAATTTTCATTAAACTCATTTATATTTTTCTTAGATTAAATGAGAAACGAGGGAATAAATTTTGTTTTTTTCTTTTCTGTTTAATTTTTTCATATATTAATAAAGTGAATTAGTAAATAGTTATAACTTTCTTTTCTATCTATTATTAATGAAATTATTAGTTATCGATTATCGTTATGTTAAGTTTTTTTGATCTTATTTCAACATAACAAATTGCGCGAGTAAAAAGTTTAACAAAAATATTGATTTGAATAGTAAATTCTTATAAGATATACAGTAAGAAAAAGGAAAAAGAAAAAAAAATGAGGAAGAGAAAGAGCAAGATTTCTCGAAGGAGAATTGATCAGTCGATACTCGCGATATTTAATCGAACTTCTTGCACGTTCGTACCAGCTGTTTGATTCTTTTACGATTATGTTTGCCACTTCAGTACGATTCCACGCTTAACGGTTGATTTAACGACGAGGTACGCGCGATGTGGCGGATGAATCGATTTCGTGTGGACTCCCTCGACTCTTTGCAGAAAGAATCGATGATGAATGTTACGTTCGAAGTTCCTCTTATTTTCTTTCGAACGGATGGAAGGCGACCAGACCGCCTTCAGAGTTTCCATCATGGAATTTTCAAACGGTACCTTTGCCGAGTCCGCTTCAACCATAAGCGCAAGTCGATGCGATCGCAAGTAGTCAGAAGAATCGCGACTACTTTAATTACGCTTAACTCACGAACCGACTTCGAGGTGAATTCTGCGAATCCCTCGTTATTAGAAGATCTTCTTGGCAACGTGACATTTCCTTGACGATATAACTACATATATGCGAGTCTTGCTAATTGAGGTAAATGAAACAGATGTATTCTAATGATTCGAGTACTTTTTATAATTAACTTTATGAATAATTTGACATTATTACTAGAATACTATATAAATTAATGTTTTTTTTTGGGGAGGGGAAACGTTTGGAATCTTCATGGACTTTGCAGTTAATTATGAATCGAAAAAAATCCAATAAACTTTTCAAAGATTTTCTAAATATTTTAATGAACGAGCTGAAAAAAGATTGTCATAACGTGTTTATAAATTTTATATATTTTATAAATTTCAATGAATCTTTCAATTGATATATCAATAATTGAAAAATTTTCTATACTGCTATTCGTATCTACACGAGGAGATTGAATGATTATAATAAGAAAAAAAAGCATAATCGAATCGTTGTCCGACATCTCCGTTTCACTGTCAAGGTCAAGTTATGGCCAGTTGTGCCTCTTTTGCAAAAAAAAAAGCTATAGAAATTCTTCCCGTAAGCGTTTATGCTTTGCTTATATGCGAAACGAGAACATGAAACAACTTGAGCCTGAAGGAACGCATGGAGTAAAATTTTATCAAATATTAGCGTTTTACGGTCCAGTGCAGTTCGTAATGCGATAATTCTACTATGCTAGACGTTCTACGAGGACATGGGACTACGGGCGCTTAGTTTTGTAGGTTAGCTATGTCGATAATGGAAGTCACGATTCGTATACGATCATGTTCGTATGCACAAAGAAAAAGAGAGAGAGAGAGAGAGAGAGAAAACGAGATGGAAAGATAGATAGATAGATAGATATATAGAGATAGAAAAAGAGAGAAAGAGCAGAGTACAGCTTCTCTCAATATTATCGAGATCGATCAGAAATCTATTGGCCATGTTCGGCGAGTTCCCGACCTCGAGATCACTCGATTACTTCGAATCGTATCGATTCATGTAAGAACGTTTGCTATTCTTATTTCTTATCTAGCAAAGAGCGATCATCTCAAAGTTCGAATCTTCTTCGAAGGTCCGTGATCGTGCGGGTAATCGAAAGGGCGAATCGACATCTGATGTATCTTCTCTTCTATATATCCTTTGAATGTTACTAACCGGTTTAAGGCTATCTAATTTATCGTACTAGTGTATTGACAGTACGGTAAATCTTTAATTATATGAATACCGGTTATGAAAATCCTGCCGGATCGATATGACAATTATTCGAAAATAGATCATGTAGTATGTAGTACAACTTTGGCAAATGAAAAATTCATGTGTTCATCTTAAATTTTTCCTTCTCTTTTAAATTAACGTTCGTTAATGTTACTTCATCATAGCTTCTATGTATTTCTTCCAATTTTTAATGAATTAATACACGCAATCGCAGTAAATTATACCATTAATAACCAATTCTGCTCGGTATAGATGTTATAAACATAAAAAATCAATTTTTATCGACGTATTATTCATTTCCTTTTTGTGTTTAAAAATCAATTAACGTCTCGTTTACAATTATTTTTGCTACGTCACTCCATCACTTGGACATCTATTCATCGTATCTTTTTCAAACTTTTTCGGTAACGGTATCCCAAAATCGAGACTCGAAGTGTGACGCAAGAATTTCTTCAAGGCTTGTAGGAGTAACTTGAAAGGACAGCTATAAAAAGTATCGATCGTGACAAATTAGCCTCATAAAATTCTTAACTGCATTTGAAATCTCGCCTGTCACCGTTCGTAAAGTAAGAACGCGAGGGTTATCGTTTATATCTTGCCTGTTATAATTTATACGTTTGAGTACCGCGAAATTGCATAATCGCAAAGTGTAATTTACACGACTTCGTTTTTCATGTTTCTTTTTTTCTTTTCTTTTTTATTTTTTCTTGCAATGTCTCTTATTAATTTCCAACCTTCTTTTTCTTATACAATTTCCGTGTCCCATGGAAAGAAGAGATAAATCAATAACAACGTTAATTTAATAAATAAGTTAATTAATAAAATAATTCATGAACAATCAACACAAGATAATAATGTAATGTGAAACATATAAAACGCGTAAGATTCTTAACGTAATGATTTCCCTACGACAAGTGTAACTCATTCATTCTATTTCTTGCTATAATAACTTTACATGTAATGACAGCTAGAACGAATTATATTTATTACTCACATCAGACAAGAACGAAGAACTCATTAAAACAAGAGCACTAATAAGCAAGGATATAATATATACTGCTCAAAGTTCACAATAAATCGAAGAATGTTCTTTTGTTTTTTTAAAGATAAAATCATATTTGCAAAGGACGATGGTTAAACGAATATATATATCGAACTATGCAATTTGATCGGAGATCGTGTCGTAGCAAAATGCAGGATGAAAACTCATTACGGTCGCTCACGATGTTTCTCTAGAAATACAAGGGAATACCTTTATTGATCCGAGTAGAGTCATTGGTGATCGAATTGAATCGATTGATTGATCGATCGATCGATCGACCTCGTCTCGATCAGATTTAACCCCCCGGAAACGTCTCGGACCGCTCGGAAGCATGTCGAGCACGATCGGATGTAGCAGACGAAGTAGCAGCCGAGCAAGATCTTACGTAGTCACATCTCTATGTATGCATACATATATGTATGCACCTATGTAAGACATGATACGTATATACAAGATAGGTAAATATCTATATATATATATATATGTATATGTATTTCTGTGTGCGTGTGTAATGCTGGCAATGGGAGTCGACTCGTCGAGGACAGCCAAGGCATTGACCCGCGCGAGCTAGCTTGAGCTAGCGAACTCAAGCCACCCGACTACGCAAGTCCACGCACTACTGCCCGCTACTTAACGGAAGAACGAGGAAAACGCCGTGCGTTAATTTCGCTATTAGAATGAATAACGCAAGTACGTCCCATTTCTCCCGAGTTTCGTATTTCAACTATCGTTCGTGTTCGAATTTGCACAGCGTCAAGTTTTCCCCTTTGACGGATCATATTTACATCTCTTACTTATTAGGAGACAAGTGATACTGATTAGATCGTCTCTGTCGCGTTTTCTTTCTTTTCCTTCTTTATTATCTCATTGTCATTTGAAATTTAAAAAGTTTATACACTTTATCGAGTATCAACATCATCGTTGTTGTCCTGTTGTCAGAAATCACTAAGATATAAAAGAAAATTTTCTTTTTTTTCAGCTCTAGGTTAATGACAACAAGAATATTAGGTGTTTTCATAAAATTAAGATCGATGAAATATTTGTTGATATTACTATGGGTACTTAGCAGTACCTGTATTTTTCTATTTCGTAAGCTTATAATCTACTTTCCTTTTTTGTCGAACGGATTAACATTTTCAAGGAGTTTCAAGGGGACAGTTTACTATTTCTTATTTACTATTCAATTCATTATTCCGTGTTTACGTTATGTAACATGCAACGAGCTGTAGTTAAAAAGGTGAAGATTAGTTATTCAATTTTGAAGGTCAATTAGCAAGAGAGAAAGTCTAACGGTCGTATAGTGAATAAGAGGAAGGAGCAGAAGAGACGGTCAAGTTCGTGTCGGCAGGTGTTTGTTGCGGCTAACGTAGATTTTCATAAGACGGTAGCGTGAGAGCACGCGCGCATATAATGCAAACGATTGTAACTCAATGATAGTGCTCTTTTAGCCTGAACGTATGTATATAAAACAATTTAAAAGCCTAAAGATATTTTTCCCCGTTCCCGATGAATTGACGTATCATTAATTTTATTTTAACGGAGTTAGCATATTGTTGACGGATCTTTTATAATTATTTTTGTTCAGCTTTGTGCGTAATCCTTATTTAGATAAATTCATTGTAGTTAAGTTGAAGTCGAAAGAAAATAAATAATCGTTAACCGGTATGACAACATTATAAGTTGTTCATTAATGTAACGTGCAGAATGACAAGAAAAAAAAGAAACAGTTAAATGAATCTTTTCATTTCATGATTTTCTTCATTTCACGATGGAGCACATCCGTTAACTTGCGTTCATCCACAGAAGATTAATGAAGATCATTCGAGTCGACAAATCGAAGCGAATGCACTTTTTATAATTCGTAGAAAACTCGAAGGAAGGCGATGATGTGCGAAAAGACGATGTCGGACGTGCCGACAAAACGTGCTCCCACGCTCATTGCCATAGTCACTTTGTAAAGAGAGA